TAGCGAGATTATCGGATAACGAGCCACCGCGGAGAAAGAGAACGAAGTTCTTAGGTGAAAGCTGGGCAAATAATGGGCAGCGATGCTCACCCCAGTATTATAATGGAACCTCGAGTATCCGAACGAACTGGGTTCGGAATGTAGAGTTGGGGAATCGGTTGATGATTGATCTAAGGAATGTTAATCCGATTAGGTTCTTATCTGTCTTCATCTGAATTGTAATTCTAGTTTGCTGTTCGTCAGTGTGGTTACACGTAAATCATCGAAACTATAAACAAAACAGCGAGAAATCCAACATTGAGAGAAGATTGCCTATTGTTTAGTGGTTCAGATGATTGAACAACTCGCGTTATAATTACCTTGCATGTGAAGAGTTGATTATATTTAGCGTTTCGTGGATTCATCTGAACTAATGGGACAATTCAAATATGTATCAGTTGATAATGCTGTATCGATGATATTCTAACTCGTGTTTACTAAACGCACGCGTTCACGTTGCTAACTCCGCTAAGCGATGTTTAGCCGATCAAGCGTTCGGATAATCACGGTTCCATTGTATTTGGTCTTCACCCAGACGATTCGCCTCCGACGAGCTGGGTCGAGGTCTCTCGCTAGATCGATTCGCAATCCTGCCGCTAAAATGGCCGGCCGGCCGGGCATCCTTGAACGACCGTGAACGTTTCGATCGTTTTCGTCTGCGACTGCAGTGGTTTCACGCTGGAATATTGCCTCGTTACTTTGACGTTTTTTCGTTGCAATGTTGGCGGAATTTTTTGGCAAATCGCAGTGATAGTTTGAAAGAAATAATTGGTGCAAACTGGATGTTTAATGGGCAGTTCGATAGAGTTCTTTGCCACGGTTTTCCGCCATTTTCCGTTGGATGTCTTGTTTGAGAACGTTAACGATCAGTATTTTAAGTTAATGACAGTGCTGCTGCTTTACTAACCCATTCACGCAGTCTACATCGTATTGTTCATTAACTTTAGTTGCACTGTAATTTAGTGCACTGTAAAATGTGCAATAAGGATGCACTCTTATTAGCATTATCGTTTAGTAAAGATTTATGGTTTTCAGTATGTAATAAGTCGCTATAAAAGCCAATAACATTTGCTTAGTCAAAATGCAGTGGAACGAATATTTATCTTTGAACGTATACTTTGTTAAGCAAAAGGTATTTTGCAATGAAAGTTTAGAACACAAAAGATGGATAACCGTGAAGATGAATATTTTAACTGAAATCATATTTTACGTTTGTTAGACATTTTTTAAACGAATAGCTATATTTTTGATTCATCCTGTACAACATTAATAACGTAAGAAACGAGATATTTAAATAAATAATGGGGGGAACAGTAAGAAGCTGAGTAAACCATCCGAGCGCACGATGAATCACCAGCCAATTAAGGATGATTCAGCCGGCCGGTGGTAAATTAACGCGCAGCTTGATATGCAACTATAAAATTGAATAATATATCGCGCAACAGCGACGACACGAATTGCGAATCACGACGATCCTGTTCCGTTCCGTTCGGTTCGTTCCACGGAAACGATTAACTGTGAAAGAGATTCTTTATTCGGAACGATTTCAGATATCTTTCACGAGAAACTTGTCGTGTTCGTTGGACGTTGCTCATACCGTGACGAGTGTTTCGCCGATTCCGCCGTAGCCCAGTGGTTTCGCGCATTTTAAATCGCGCGTCCCTCGAGAAAAGCCCGCGAAACCGACTAGCAATTCGAACGAGCCTGTTACAGGAATCCCTAATGACGAACCAATTAATCGACGAAATATATGATTTACTTACGTTATCTCTGTGACGAAAGTTTCGAACGCTTTTCACCGTGCAACAAAGAGAAAAGGTAATAAAAACCTCTCAACGGAAATGGCGGGAGATCAGCCATCATTTAAAAAGTGCATACATCGTCGTAAATACATAAAATCGAATAAATGAATAAAATAAACTTATAGGAATATCTAAAAGATTTCTTTACACGTTGAATGCTGTAAGGTTCGCCTCCAATTAAATCGAACTACTATAATTCACTCAATCAATGATTATTTGAAAACATTTCTATATTACAAACAGTGCTATCTAATGCGGTGACATTCAGCTAGATGAAAATGCAGTAATAATGATTCAATTCAATCGAATGATTTAACCCTTTGCACTCGGAAGTATTTCGCTGGAAATATTTAACGTTTTCTAACTATACAAAGACGATATTTTTTTAAACGATCTCAAAGAAAAATCTTAAATAAATTGAGAGACAAAGCTTTTTTAAACGAATATTTCATACATCGATGTATTATACACAGTTCAATATTAAATATCAAATTTTATAGTTTTACTGCGTTGAATCAAGTGGTGACAGAGTCACCTCTCGAGTGCAAAGGATTAATATTATATCTTCTCCATTTTGTGTATGTTCTATGAAATCGCGCGGCGTTAACGTCGCCACTAACGCAACTCGATGATTGATGAAACAATAAAATTTTCGAAACTTCTCAAGGACTTCCCAATCGCATCGTATTATACGAAGATTTCCCTGATCGAACAGTCGCGTCCGTCTGCAACTTTTAATCGGATGATGGATGCTCCACTTATTCGATCAACCTTGAAGAACATTCCGAAGCGCGGCAGTCTCGTTAAGATTCAAATGCATTCCAAGGAATTATTCCGAAAGTGAGGTTAGGTTCGCGAGCCCTACACGACTGGCTCGTTCGTTCGCGCGCTGCCCGCGAGACACCAGAGAAAACCGGGTGAAAGTGGCGGATAAGCCAGCAACAATGCCTGCTCCGGTGATCCGCGATTCCTTTAATTATGCATTCCGAACAGAAACGGAGTCTTCAACGGACCGCTTCTCGTTAATGGCAGAGCCTCGCGCGGTCGTTTTCTCTTTTTTTCCCTCTCCGTTTCCGCGGGACGCCCGGCCGCGGGATCCGCGGCACTTAACAATGCGATTAACACGTTTCTAGCGGCGGCCCGAGGTTTCAGGGTCTCGAGTGCTTCCTCCGGATCTGATAAGAGAAATCGAGTCGCGATGCCGCGTCGGAACATACGAGCCGCGCTAATTATTAAGCCTGTCGGCCTCGCGCGTTCACGGTGCGTTTATTATCATTCACGATTCAATGCACCCAGCAAAGCGAAGCTAAATCATTTCTCATACTTGCTATCATTCCGTACGAATAAAATCTGATTTTTATCTTCGCTCGTAAAACACAGATATACGATTTATTCACGTTCGCGCGTGAGGAATACCCGATATAAATGAAACTGCGATGCGCTCGATGCTCACTCGCGAATCACCGGTGAGGCGTTTAATGCGTTCGGTTAATGGGGTTCGAATAAATAACGGCATGATAAATTAAAGAGTGAAATAAAGCCTCGAGTCACGGTCTGAAGTCGAGATTTACGGTACACCGTAAATAACGAGATCAACTCGAGTGTAACGATTGATTCTTGTCGAACTCCGTTCGCCCGACAAAATGGCGGTGCAACGGTCTTACTTCAATGCCCCGAAGGACGCGTTTCCTCGTGTTCCGTGTTCGCATGAGTATCCGCAGTCTGTTCCGCGGCCAAGAGTTTTTTTAGATGACTGAATTAATACGTTCGCCCGATCGATTCGCGTTCCGCGGGACGTTTCGTCCGGCCGGGATCGCTCAGGTCGCGGGGGCGACCTTTCGTTTCGTCGAGGGTTAATTGCCGCTTACCACGCAGCTTACGTTTCGTTCCGTGCCGCGCCTAACGAACCGGCGTTAAAAACCACGATCACGTTGCAACGCGGACCGGGAAGCATCTTTCAGGGAACGACGTCCGTGAACCTGGCGGAGAAAGTGCTGAAAACACCGGTGATTCCACTGTGGTCTTAGAACGAACCGCTCGGCCGTTCTTCCTTTCTCCGGCGCACGCCGTTTGTTTTCGTTCGCCGGACGAACGGCGAATTCGGCCCGGGCTAAATTGAGTGGGATAAAAATGAATGAAGTGCCCGGCATCCCGCGAGAAAGATTCTCGACGGACGAATGCCCCGATTGTTGATCGTAGCACGACGATACGCGGCCGATGCGGTCGTTGCGGCAATTTTATTAGAGGCTGCAGCATTTTTATGCGTAAACTCGGAGAGTTGATTTAATACTTATGAATTCTTGAGTCGCCGCAGTAAACTGGATGCAAAATGAAATGGAGTTTGTTGCTGGGATAGTCTTTTGGGTCGAGTGTTCTCAACAGATAGACAGTTTATCTGTGTTCAAGAATTAGATTTTCGTCTCTTCGTCCTAGAAACACTAATCCCTTTTTATCGATACTCTTCGATAGCAATAAATTTCCAGAATCCGCAATTTTCCAAATATCTGATATTTATTCGATTTATACTACCATGAATTTCTCTTAGTTACTAAATCCTTAGTATCTCAAACTTCTAACCCTTTGCACTCGAAAGGTGACTCTCAGTCACCACTTGATTTGATACAGCAAAACTATGAAGTTGAATATTCAGTATTTTAAGTTAAAATTATATTTAGCAATATGAAATATTTAAATAAAATAGCTTTGTTGCTCGATTTATCTGTGAATTCTCATTAAATTAGTTTCAAACAATGTCCATATTTCATCAGAAAATGTCCAAATATTTCTACTGAAAAACTTCCGAGTGCAAAGGGCTAATACTCACTAAACTCGTAACTCTTCAAGTTCCAACGCATACCCGCGATATTCTCAGCAACAACCCACTCATCTAATACAATCTAAATCAACTTACAACCCTAACACCCCCTAACAACACAAAAATTCCAAGAACCAACGAATCTTCAAATTCCAACGCAAACAGCCGATCGAAATCAACTTACACCCCAAACCCCCTAACAACCCAAAAATTCCACCAAAAACCCTCCTCCCACGCAGCTCCCCGAACAAGCTACTTCCCTCCTCTCGACAAACTCATCTCGCAGCGCAAGCCGAAAATGAAAATTCCAGCCTGAAGAGCAGCAAGCCATCTGCTTGTTCCAGGAGGACGCAGATCCCAGCCACAAGAGGGTGGACAGATTGCTCTCTGAGGAGTGTTGTCGCGTTCCCCGCGGGCCGGCAGGCGTCGGCGTGGAAGGTGTCGGCTCCTGGAGGGGCCAGCGTCGCCCCCACGGCATCGAGATACCTACGCCCCTGGCCGGCGTCGCGGCGCACGAGCTGGAGTCGTCCGTGGACGGCGGCGCAGCGTTCAACCCCGTCGTCGTCGCATCGGCGGCGACACCCGCGAGATGCTCTGCGTCGAAGAACGGGCCGAGAACCGCAACATCCGCCGCCGCCTCGTCATCGTCATCCGCCAATGCCGTCAGCTCCAGGCCATCGAGGTTCTACCTAGGCACTGCGATCGCTGAGACCAGCAAGGAGGATGCGATGGAGCCGGAAGTCAAGGAGGAGGACGAGCGAAGGTCGTCCACGCCGAGCCCCGAGGTAACAGATCACCAGCTTTCCTCGATCGTCGTCTCTCCGCTTTCTTCATCCTCCGCGTTCGACCCTGCCAGTTCCCTCATTTCCTCGATCGAGTCCCGGTGTCCCTGGTTCGCTTCTAACGGCCACGTCGAAATTGATCGCGGCGTAGTGCAGTCTTCCCAGCGGAAGCGTTTCCTTTTTGCCCATCAAATTCAACTAAGAATCTCCAGCAAACAGATTCTGTTCGTTCGGAATAATTTCCCTTTCTTTGGTCGGTGTTCTCCATTAACCAAGCCTCGTTCGAACTCATTCGACAAATTAGAACCCGTGCCGATGGGAACCAGAAACGATCTCGTGCTTGCCGAGTAAGCGAATCGATTAGCTATCAACGGATTCGCGGAATGCGATCTGTTTACGATCTGTTTTCGAGAGGTTCCGGTTGCCAGCCTGTAAATGTCTTCCGGAACTGCCGCATTGTTATGTAACCGGCTGTAAAATGCGCATTAATTTCGTTCAGTCGACGCGGTCTGGTCGTGTTTATCCAGATTTTTTGCGACGATGCGATTGTTTTCTATGTTCGTTTTCCTCTTCCTTCTCACTTTTTGTCGTTTCAATAGTCTAACGTGAGGGAAACGGTTGGACACCGCTGGGTATATTGCCTCGTGCTTGTGGCACACGAGTCCCTGCTATATACACCGACGTAGCCAGCGTATTGATTTTGCCGAGAGAGAGAGCTCAATCTGTCCTTCTCCGTTGCACACGTTTACGCACACGTACCGTGCTATTCCCTCTCTCGTGCTCTCACTCTCTCTCACTCTCTCTCTCTCTCTCTCTTTCTCTCTCTTTCTCTCTCTTTCTCTCTTTCTCTGTCTGTCTCTTATCTCTCTGCCTTTCTCTTTCGCCGCCCTTTAACTCGCCCTCACCGTTTGCGCGAGAATTTATTTGGTGCCCTACCCTGCACGCGGATCAGCCCCCCGACAGAAGGCAGCGGGGGCGTTTTCCTTTTTCTCGTGGTTCGAACTGTATTTATTTTCGCTCGAGTGTATTGGAGAAGTAACCTTGGCTAGCTCCTCTCTCTCTCGCCCTCTCTCTTTCTGTTTCTCGCTGCCTCTGTCCACCTTTTCGCCTCCCGGTGTCCTCGGGAAATCTGAATCGGCTTTTTATTATCAGGGAATCTGAATTGGTTTGAGAGGAGCCGCGCCATTGTTTTGTTGAATTGCCGCGGACCGAGGTTTCTTTTGTAATTTATACCGCGGAAGATGCAGTTTTTTTCTGGGCTTCCGCGGCTCTTCCGGTGATCCGCTTTTGTTTGCTTTTTTCGCTTGGTCGTTGGTCCGGGATTATTTATGTAGATTTCGATTTTCATGGATTAATTAGCGGATATCGGAGACGGGGACTTATTTGGTCAACGGCGGATTCTATCAGGATTCAAGTGAAAGTACTTGTTTCAAAGGAAGTTTTTAAGAAATTATTGATCATCGGGATTTATGTAAATCTACGTGACCGGTTTCGACTTTAGAGTTTTAAATGTGTAAGGATTCGTGTTTCAGGAACGATTTACGCGATAAAAATTAGGATCAGGGTTGATTTTATATATAGTCGGAATGAACAGAAATGAAAGGTTTCGTTCAATTGTTTGTGTTAACCAGATTTATTCGAGAAGGAGTAAACACTACAATGAGGGTGGTAGTAGCGAGGAAGAGAGCAAGCCAGACACGTCTTTACAAGGACACAGAGTACCATCCTCTTACAGAGGAACATGGCCCATCAGAAGAGATCTATGGGCCAGTCAGCAGATGGGCTTCTCCTGTCAACAAAGCACATCAACCACTGTACATAATGTGAGTTTCCTCATTTCATTCGCAAAAGAGAAAGTTGCTCAGTGGACTGTCTTAAACGTCACCTTAATTTCCAACAATTTTTTCCTAATATCTTATAACTGATATAAGAAACATAGAACGGATTTCGAATAGAATATTTCGATAATATTCCCAATGTATATACAGCTTAAATTTGCACTCGAGAAGCGACTCACAGTCGCATTTGCTTTGATACAGCAAAGTTACAAAATTTGATGTACTGTATCAAAGTTCGTTTCACGTAATTATCCACGAAACGTTAAAATAGAATAGTTCTATACCTTGATTTCTATACTATTTATATTAACGTTGGTTATAAAACCTATCATTGATATTTCATTAGAAAATGAAGAATATATCTAATGAAACAATTTTCGAGTGCAAAGGTTTAACACCCGTATCAAATATTTTTACTAAGACCACACTGCACGCTTCATCGCCTGAATCCTTATAATATATTTTACATCTACCTGGAATACAGTAAACCACCGGTCTCCCGCATCTAGATTTTCCCTATTAATAATTACCTTGTTCCCCAGGACGTAGCCAGCGTAATGAGTTTCTCATCAAACTCTGGCGGTGGCCTGAGCTGTTCCGCCGAGGTGCAAGGAGACCGAAGATTAGGAGCGAAAGTGGACGTGGTGTACAACCTGCTGGGAATGCTGGGAAGCACCGAGGGCGGAGAGGACATGAGCACCACCCTGCTTTCAATGAGTAACTCGATAGACAATTGTCTGATAATGAGGCAGTCGGGATGTCTGCCGCTGCTGGTACAACTGATTCACGCACCGGGACAGGATCTGGCAACCAGAGAGAGGGCTTCGCGAGCCCTGCACAACATAGTTTACGCGAAAGGCGACGAAAGGGCTGGGCGTCGAGAGGCCAGGGTACTTAGATTTCTGGAGCAATTGCGAGACTATTGTCAAGCTCTGAGATCGTCCTTGGAGACGGGAGAGGTTCCCGACGATCTGGAGAGACACCCAGGACCGACTATAGCCGCGCTAATGAAACTTTCCTTCGACGAGGCCCACCGTCACGCTATGTGCCAGCTCGGTGGGCTGCACGCGGTAGCAGAGCTAATCGAGATGGACCACATGGCCCACGGTAGCGAATGCGACGACCAAAATTGCATCACGCTGCGCAGGTACGCTGGAATGGCGCTGACCAACCTGACATTCGGCGACGGAAACAACAAGGCGCTGCTCTGCTCTTTCCGGGAGTTCATGAAAGCGTTGGTATCGCAACTGCGCAGTCCTAGCGACGACCTTAGACAGGTCACAGCGAGCGTGCTGAGGAACTTGTCGTGGCGAGCGGACACCAGCAGCAAGCAGACTCTGAGGGAAGTGGGAGCAGTGACTGGTTTAATGAAGGCCGCGATGGAAGGCAGAAAGGAGTCAACGCTGAAGTCGATCCTCTCAGCGCTGTGGAACCTTTCGGCACACTGTAGTACAAATAAGATAGACATCTGCGCTGTGGACGGTGCTCTCGCCTTTCTCGTGGACATGCTGAGCTACAAAGCGCCGTCCAAGACACTGGCGATAGTGGAAAACGCCGGGGGTATATTGAGAAACGTCTCCAGCCACATCGCGGTCAGGGAAGACTACCGAGCTATCGTCAGAGAAAGAGGATGCCTTCAGGTTTTGTTGCAACAGTTACGATCACCGAGCTTGACCGTAGTCAGCAATGCCTGCGGAGCACTTTGGAACCTCTCGGCTAGGTGTCCGCAGGATCAACGTTTGCTGTGGGACCTCGGCGCAGTGCCCATGCTCCGCAGCCTCATCCATTCCAAGCACAAAATGATCTCGATGGGTTCGAGTGCAGCTTTGAAGAACTTGCTAAGCGCCCGGCCAGGTTGCAACAATCTCGTTCATTTAGACTCAACAGCCCGTGGCTTAGGCCTTCCAACGTTGCCCACCTTGGTCGCCCGAAGACAGAGGGCTTTGGAGCAGGAGATAGATCAGAACTTGGCAGAAACATGCGACAACATTGAACCCAGCACATCTCCTACGAACAAGGACGACAAGTTCCTCTTCAAGATGGACCACAGCTTCTTAGGAATTAACGCTCGAGCATTGCGCAACTATCACTTGCACAACCAGCCCAGCACGTCCAGTATGAAATGTAATGGAGTGGCCAGAAGCGAGAGCAGGGACTCCATGCGGTCCATAACTAGCACCCACTCCGACACCATGTTCGAGCGAGTTAATCGCCACGTGTTGAACGGATTATCCCCCACCGACATTCAAATCAAACAGCAGTCCTCCTCCCTTCATTCTGCGGTCGGTTTCGACACCGGCATGTCCAGCGAGAACCACATCAAAATTTCGTCCGAGAAGAAGTACACGCTACGGTACAAGAACGCGATCCCCGACCGTTTGAAATCCTCGGATGGTTACAACGACCTGGGAGACCTGAGATGCACCAATTCCACGATCTCCTGGTCGTCCGCGCCGGATCAGGAGTCCGCTTGTTCGCAGAACTTGCTCCACTCCTCTGTGGAGGATAACCTGCCGCAGAGCATGTCGTCGAAAGGTGGTAGCCAGTCCAGCGTGTCCGAGGAGACCGAGTTGAATGTTTGCCAAAAGACCGAATACCAGTGCATCGCCGGCAAGTCGGGGATCGACACTCCCTCGTCGTTGTCCTTCGCCAGTAGTACATCTCCGGGCAAGGACAGTTTCAGTAACATGTATGACAAGACGGTGCTACATCAGCATAATCCACTGAACACGATACAGAAAACCATCTCCCCAACTGTCAGTCACTGTACGGAAGGGAATCTGTTTAGTGATTATGCCGAGACGGATTTGGATCAGCCGACTGATTACAGTTTGCGGTACGCGGAGCGTAGCTTGGACGAGGACAAACAGCACTCTCATTACTTTGCGAACAGCGAGCAGGAACTCGTTCATGATGACACTTTGAAGACTTACTGTACCGAGGGAACACCCCACGGATCGTCGCTGAATTCTTCCAGAGCTGCCTCTGCGTCTGACTTGCAGGAGGATAATAGACAGAGGTGCACTATGAAGAGAATACAGGAGCAAAGGAAGTTGCACGACAAACAAGAGTTCAGTTTGCAAACAGAAATTAAAAGCGTTGTGGAAGAAAACGGACATGGCACCAAGATCCCATTGAGGTTAGTAAGCTTGTTGCCTGAAGAATATGATAAGTAGCAAGATTTATTGCGAAAAGAATGGTTGTAGATATTTTGTATGGTATTCGAGAATAAAATAAAGTCTCCTTCTTTTTTTTTTAATAGTTTAAGAGTGCAACAAATATCATCAGACAACTTGCATTGCGATCAGAGTAATAACATTGCATCTAATTCGGGAAATGTGAAATCAGGTAATTTAACTGATTTTTAAGTGTAAATAATGTTTCCATAAATTACGATTGAAACATCTACTTGTGTCTATGGTTATTGCCTGTAAAAAATGTACGAATCTGTTTATTTCATAGATGTGGAGAAAAAGTATGAGAATCAAAATGAAATGTTCGGGAAAAACGTTAAAAGTTTCCCGACAAATGGAATTAATTCATATGTGGCCAGTGCATTGAAGGCTTCTAATGATTCAGGATGTAAGGAATTTGAACTAAAAGGAGATACGCGTAACATGCCTTGTACATTAAATATAAACGCCTCTTCCGAATGTTTAGATCAAGTCAGTGATGGAGATGAGGATGATGAAGATCTTCTTACAGCTTGCATTAATATCGGAATGCAAAACAATAGGTAAATTCATTAAGAAACATTTAATGTACATACATTTCTGTTGCACAAAAAACAATGGAAGAAATTTATGAATTAGTATTAATTCATAAATGTAATTAATTGTTTATTTTTGTTTTTTGTTCCAGGCACAGGCATTCTTTCATAGGAAACAATTTTGAGAAACTCCCACGAAGTGAAAGCAATCTAGCGAGGTATCAGACAAGCGTGGCGTTAGATCAAGTAGAATCCAATCTACTAACTGATTCCGCCATGAATAGTCTAGATACAAATCGAACAACATGTGAAGAAAATAATGATATAATTAATCCACCAAGTGTGAATGTTACGTCTCATTACAGCCCGAATACAACAACAAAATTAACTCAGAAAGTAAGATATATCCATTATCTGCAATGATATATCATATAATTTCTAAAAATCAAGAAAACTTAAATATTAAATTTATTTCTAGACGATAGAAAATGAAGCTGTAGCGGAGTCCTCGAATAAAATGTTACAAAATCAACTCGCAGACATAAGCAGAAACATTGAACAAATTACTGGGATAGGTGAAGACAACCTTTGCAATTTTTCATTGCCTTCAAACTTGAGGAACAGCCCGATTCTACAGGAAACGATAGTTTTCAACACAGAACCTAATCAGCAACAGTACCTATCCAGCATGGACATTGAATCAAATGAAGACATGTCGTCTTTAATTCATACTGATCTTTTGGAGGAAGAAAGGATGACAGAGGAAAATGAAAATGAAAATGATAAGCTATCGGACACCTCAAAAAACAAAATTAGAGAGAACCCAATGCAGCAGTCTTACACGAAAGTGACAGACTCGGAAAGCAGTGAATCTATTGATTCCGTCGAACAGTCTGAACATGCGCTCCTAGAATTGTGTATACAACCTGGATTGTCAAAACCCATCGACCAATTGAACAAAACTGCATTGAAGTCTAAGATTTTAGATCGGTTTGAACAGAAAGAGATCAATTACTCGAACGAGAGCAGTCAGATGGATGACACGTGCGAAGTGGACGGTATTCAGAAAGAAGAGATCAGCGAGAAGCACAAACAGATACAAAAGAACACTGATATACCGAACCACGGGAAGAAAGAAGATATATATCGACGGCAGAGAGATCCAGACGCAATGATCGCCTCGTTAGATCGGTTAACAGCCACGTTAGTGCAACAAACGGAAGCGATTCGAGAACGTGACTCTGGTACCATGAAGCAAAGCATAATAAGCGACACCTGGAATGAGGATTCGCCTAACGAAGTTTCCTTTCCTAGTATCAGCATTAGCGCTCCCATCATTGCCTCGTTCAAGAGCGACGTTCAAGAAGATCCAGGTACCGTTACCTCCGAATACGTGGAAACAGCGAGTAGCGAAAGCGGACATATGACAAATTCAAAAATCATTCAACGAGAAGCGTTCAAACTAGCCGAGGCTGTGGACGCGGAAATGAACAAGCACAACGAGATGGACACAACAAGTATGACGTCCATGGATCTAGAGGCCATCAAACCTCCGTCTTCGATGGGCAGTTTGTTGTCCCTAACAGCCAGTTACGCTGGCTCGGGTGATTGCAGCGAGACGTACGTTAACAGAGACAGATGTAATTCTGCGTCGCTTCCACCGATTCAGATGAGGAACGTGTCCCTAACAGATTCCAGAAACTGCCGTAAAAAGTCTTTGCCTCTCGGCGTGGTGGCCAAACGAGCGCTAAACCAGAATCAGGCTCATACAAGCAGTTTAGAGAATTTATTGAACGAGTGCAGTGGTTCGCACCTGGACAGCGTCAAACCACCATCGATGATGGACGAACTGCCGGACGTGGGTGACATGGAGAATAGTATGCTAAGTGTGGCGAGCATCACGTCGGAGGTGGCCGACACGAAAGACCAAGATCCTCACAGTCTAACCGGAAGCGATGCCGTTTTCGATTTGTTGAAGCCTGTCGCGAATGTCCTCTCTATCACCTGCATGCGTTACGCTGAAACCATGCAAAGCAGCGCGAATAACAGCTTGAGCGAGTATCTGGAGAATATCAATCCGCCTTCCCTGTTCAACGAGGTCTGCGAAATGGACGAGTCAACGGTGGAACATGTCACGGAGACTGTGTGTAGCGACACTCTGTGCATCGACGCAGAGTTGCGCACCGAGGAAGCTCCGCATCCAATGGTCGTTGACAAGATTGACGAAGGTGGCAACGACACTGACGAAGCGGTCACTCCGATCTCGTCAGAGTACTGTGTCACCAGTTCGGCTGAGTCGACACCTAAGAAACGACTACATAGGAATCTCACGCCGAAACAAAAACGAACTTTGGCCAAGGAGAGGTACAAGACATACACCATTGCTGCAGAACTAAGTAAGAAGGAGACGGAGGAGGAGAAACAGGAAAACGAGGATCGGGAGAACAAAATTCCACGCGGCAAGTGTTCGCCATTTTCCAAGCTGACACCTAAGCAACGCAGGCAGGAGGATAGAGCCAGGTTTCAGACGCAGGTATTGGAGAATCCCTTCCCTGAGGTGAACCAGGATCAACAGGACGTTGAGAACATCTGTGAGACGGAGAGTCCTGCATCGTCGGAACCTGTGTCACCTGTCAGATCTGCTATTCCTAAACCGACAAAGCTGTCAGCTTGTAAGACACTGATAAAAAAGCGCATGGAACAGAAAAAAAACCGGGAGAGGTACCGCACAAGAACACTGAACGACTCGGAATGCATATTCAAGGACACTGATGGCAATGCTGCCGCAAACGGTACGGACGAGAACTCGTTAACAGCAACGCACACCATTCAGTCGGATGAGATTCAAACTATGTTAGAGCAAAACGCTACCATAGTGTTGAACACTTTGAACGAATCTAACAAAGCAAATCAGAACCTGGAAGAACCGTTATTGGACTGCGAGACCATTAGTTTGGTGTCGAACGAGTCGGAGTCTGAAAGAAACTTGCGAATGAAGTTCGTCAACGGCGTCTCCAAAAAGCTAATAGGCGCTTGTAGCCAACAAATGGATGAGGCACACGAATTGGAAGATACCCATAAGGATGCAGTCGAAATTGAAACGTGTAGGTCACAGGAAGATGTCAGATATGACACCGTGGAGAGTGACAGTGAGAATGAATCTAACAATACCGAAGAGCCACCTCGAGAGACGAAACGACCACGGATAATCAAGCCAGGTATGGTGAGAGACCTCAGTAACGATTCAAACGCCACGGACAAATCAGAACCAGAGAGTCCAAAGGCTATACGTGGTAGAAGAAAGGCTCTCTACTCGAATCCAATAACGAGGAAACCAACGCCTCAATCGTCCCCGTTGAAACAAGTGAACCCTGTAAGTGGGATACCCATTGGTCGTAGTAACACATCACCCATAGTGAGAGCTACCAGAGCAACCACTCTTCGACAGAATAATAACAGTCAAAACAACTTAACAAAAGAGTCTTCAAAAACAACACTTAAAATGACATCCATTTTACCAGACACGGAAAAGCGAACGAGGAACTTATCCGCAGCCGCAAAGAGAGCGTCTGTTCCTCAAAAGGGATCATCGCTGACTTTCACTAAATCCGTGAAAAGGCACAGTACACCTCCAACGTGCTCCTCGAATTTTCAGCAAGACGGTAAACCAGACGCAGCCGTGAAACCTTTAGAACGACAGGGTACGTTCACCAAAGACGAGCCGGAAATGGAGAACGCACCCATGGTAGTCTCTTCGTCGTCTTCGCCTATAAAGACAAAGATTGCGAAACCCATCAAAGGTGCTACCTCTAAAGTACACCCAACGACAATGGTCAAACCGAAAGTCGCCCCAAAAGCGCTTCAAACGAAAGCTACGAAAGGTAATACCTCGGAAAAGATACAGCCCCCTAAAGCGTTGCCGCTGTTAGTCGCACCAAAACGTTTGCCGACAGGAAAGCTAACGTCAGCGTCGAAAGTTCCAACCGGTGTCCAGAACACCGCGCAAGCGGAAAACGGTAAGGTTTTTCGCAAAGTAGGTCCCCTTGGTCAAAGATCCAATAGTAATTCTAGCATCGTGTCCAACTCGTCAACAGGGATGCAGACTAGAAAATTAGCGAAGGAGGCGACTAGCAAAATAGCGAGTCTTTGGAAAAAAGTCGAGGAAAGCAAAAGTAAGCAGCGATTGGAGAAACCCGATACCAGGCAATGGTTACAGCCAGGCAGCTGTGCCAATGTCGTGGACGCTCCTACCCCAGCGAGCAATCCACCAGCTTTTAGGCTATTCCGTAGTTCCACGTTCGAAGGAGTACCCCAAGAGAATGATAGCCCGGAGTCCACCTTATACAAATCGAAATCAAAACGACCTTTAGCGATGGGTGTCCAGTTCAGTAAAGTGAAGTATAGGAACTCTTGTGATTTAAGCGGAATGAATGCAAACGATGCTCCTTGCAAAATACCTGTAAAATCTAGTGATGCTTCTACGTACAGAAAAGACACTGTTCAAGTAGGAGACGCTTCTGTGATCTTACGGAAGCCACAGAACAGTGAGTCTTCCCCAATGGAAGTAGATCCTACTAAACGAATATCACGCCTTGGTTCCTTCATAAGAGTAGACTCTGCGAACGCGGAAGGCTCTGCACAAACAAACGTGAATGGCAGCGGCACGCGTACACCTGCCTCTGCTATTGTACCACCCTTTAATTACAATCCGAAACAAGACATTCCTTCCCAAACAACCAAAGTTACACCGAACGAAAGTGAAAGTAAATTTGGGGTGGCAGATTGTCACAGTGACATTGTCACAGGTTCAGCGAGAGTAACAACAGTATAGGAGATACCCATTACATTTAAAAAATAATTACCCTTACGGCAGTATCGCTTTTTCGTTTCAGGCTAGTCATTGTACATTTGCTTCATGGTGTGTTGACAGTGAAGTTCACACATTGGTATGCATTACAAGTACACGATAAGTAAGTTAACTGTTTCATTTTACCTCATTGTTCGAATAACACTAAAAATCTCCATCATGTTTCACTGATTTTTACACGATTAAATATAGAATGGTCGTTGGACTGTTTGTTTGTTGCATCGTGATGCAAGTTTTTTAAGAGGTACGAATAAAGTGTGAAATAGCAGCTGGAAATTCTGATATCATTCCTATTCACTTTGCGTGTTGTATATACATTATATTGAGAAATTCCACGATTAGAGGGAAATTTAAAATCTGTAGTATGTAGCAGTGATTACCCTCGATTATTTATTCAATTTTGTATATATTAAACGTGAATGAAAAAAAAAAATGTAGAAAGTTTAGTGATATATATTACGACCCTACGATGTATATGGCAAGAGATAACGTTGCTGTACATCATCATAATAGGTAAATTTGCAAGGAATGAGATCTGTATTTTGTTTCCATCGTAACTGATTTGTATTCCTTTAATGGATACAAAATCTGATTACTTTTTTAAAGACTGATAGGAACACGATGAAGGTTCGGACAAAGCTTGGACATCTTCAATGCGACAGAATGTTATGACAAAAAAAGGTAGTAACATTTGTATCGATGTAGCGGTCTAAGTAAACGCTAAAACCGGCATTATATAAAGAGACAAAATTTTGTAAACTTTTACTTTAAGTTTCTAGTCTACTTAAAAAAAAAGATCAACAGGTGAAGTAGCTTCTATTTTGGTCATAATGTACTACATAAAGTCGAGATTTGCATGTAAGAAGTGTCTACAAATTCGACTGTTACCCTTTCTAAAATTCATATAGGTACGGCTAGAAGTGTGTACGGATCAATTAAATATTTACCGATCTGCAAAAAATTGAAAACTTTGGCATGATATTTATCAATTTTAATTGAACGTTTCTTTGCTAACTTTATTCGAAAAAAAAATTTATTGTATATTTGAAGCATCAAGGAGTACATATTTTTTAAGTTTCTTCTGTATCGCGTCATCTTTCCTTCTACATGTGTCGAACAAGATCTAAAACTCTCATTAGAAGGAAAATGTTTGACACAATATAGAGTAGCTTTTATGGTGGATTATTTACAAAGATTTTGTTATGCGTGTTTTACCCTGTTCCAGTTCGAGTTAATTAGATTTAACCCTTCCAACTTGGAACCATATCAGGGTAGCTTTATGTTTTTCTTCTTACAAGATTTGGTCTGTACACTGGATTCTGTTTTGTCCATGGTTCTTTTGTAATAATCATTGTCTTTTACATAGATCTTAAGCATAATTCAACCTTTTTTTACATTGTACTTTAGATTTGGCAAACATCTTAATAATTTGTATATTAATAATTGCAGTACAATAAAATTTATAGCTACTAATATCTACTTTGATGTTTCTATCACGAGGAGAATAATACAGCTCTGTGTCACTAAACACATGTGTCAAAGAAGAGTAATACTTCGTAAATTGTAAAATACTTCAAGGAAAAATAATAAATATAAACATTTATTAATCTATCTTTATAAAACATTTATTTATCATACATTGGACATTCGTATAAATTAATGGATTTATCGTCAGATACAGATACAAGTACATCGTTCCTTTGAGGACTGTACTTCACAGCCCATACCTGAAAAAAAGACAAGTTACTTAACTATTATGTTTCTTTATTATCTGTAGATATTTTCAAATGTTAAAATTTATATAAAAATGTATATATACGTTCCTAGATTACAACATTCTTTTCCTATTTTGTAACATATAATATTAATATCTTACCTGATCATTATGTTCATTGAATGTATGAAGACATTGTCGCTGTGCTAATTCCCAGATTTTAACTGTGTGATCTGAACTACTAGAAGCAAATGTTTTGCCATCTGGAGCAAAAGCAACACCAAGTACCCATGAAGCATGACCTGACATAGTTCCAGCTAAATTAGCATCTTTCCTGTAAGAAAAAATAAGTTGATAAGATTAAAAAATGAATGAATTCTTCATTTCAAATAATATAATATGCACAAAATCGCTTACACATCATATAATTTCATATGCCCATCAGCTGATGCAGTAAGAAGCAGCTGAGAGTCTGGTGAGAAACAGAGAGACCTGATAGGCATCGCATGACCTATAATATATACATAAATTTATACATGTCTTTATTGGAAAGAATGTATTATAAAAACTGTTGTACATACCTTCTAATGTACGCAATACTTTTCCATATGTAACATCAAATATGTTAATGATTCCATCTATGGCACCACTAGCAATATATTTACCATCGGGGCTCTGTAATAGATGACGTTATGAAACAAAGAATCGGTATGTTTTAATTTTTAAAAATAAATCCAATATAATATAATCATACATAGGCAACACTTAATGTAAATTTTCCACCCCTGGTATCCAAAGTTTGTTCTCTTTTACCACTTTCTGTTCCATACAGATGTATTTTGCCAGAATGACTGCCAGACACAATGAATTTATCATCTGGAGAAAATACTACTGTCCAAATATCTACAGGGCCTACTTCAATGCTCGATATTTTTTCTCCTGTTTCCAGATCCCATAACTTTAGACTAGAGTCTAACGAACTGGATGCACATTCTATAAATTACAAGAATAATTGTAAAGTGTGGGCAATTCTATTTCAAACTGAAATGTGTAATACTCCACTGATTTCAGCTAACTACTTACTCGAGCCATCTGAACTCACTGCAACAGATAACACGCCAAGGGAATGTCCAGTTAACTTATGTTTATGTTTCAATTGCATAGATTTTTCCTTGTATTCCCAAACTTTCACGGTATCATCGACAGATCCAGTTACTATGTATTCCACAATCTCATCTTCATTGGATCTCATTGAATCCCTGTAATATCATAATAAAAAATTGTAAATAAAAAAGGACAAGTAGTACACACAGTTGAGGTTACAAACCGAGAGTCTTCGTTATCCGGTTGGGTTTCCTTTTTCTTCTTCGGACATCCCCAAGCACAGGTCCAGATACTATCTTCATGAGCATTTTCTGTTTTACTAAGTAACGAATACTAAAAAACATTTCAAACAGAGCTATGAAACTGTCACGTACTGTGGACAACCTAACCTCTATATTTCTTGATGATTTATAAATTTATTCATCTCTCACCATTCTAGGAAGCGGCTACTATCTTCGAAACAATATATTTTCAATAGTTGGCGTACTCACGAAAATGAAGTATGCAAATTTGTTTTTATTTTGGAAGTCTTGAAGGTGTTACAGACTATATATTTATACATATAAATATACACCTATATCCACAACACCGGGTATTTCCCTACGTAAACTAACATTCATCCAAGTCACATATTGTATACGTAGTATTAAGATATTATATTTATTTTATGGTTGTAAAAATTGCTATTATCGCTTGTTCAACTTTATTCTACAACAATAGATACTAACAAAATTAATCTTCAATTAATTATTAATGAACTATGACACGTAGCGTATAAAAATCAGAAAGAAAGTTGAAAATATTGTTCATTTGCGATAAAAAATATATAGTAAATTATTCATAAAACTGCAATTTTGATTAAAGATGTTATTAACAATGTGATAATTAAATATTTCATAAAATAATAGTAGTAGTATTAAATGATAAATTTATTCATCATAATCTTCTCATGAATATTGTTAGCAGCTATTGTTGATTTCCGCTTTTAATAAATTATATATACTCATTTCTTTTATCATAAATAATTATATTTCATATTTTACAAAATACTTGTTTTTGAACGTTATATTTTAAACGCAATTTGAACTGGACTAAAAAAATATGTCTCTGTATATTGCATTGTAGATGGGAAGCTCAGTTTTACCCTGTACCTCGATAGGCAAAAGTGGGAGAAAAAACAATCGACACATTATAAACATACAGTTTGCATATGAATTTTAAAAACATGTACAAGATAATTTGTAACAATTAAGTAACAACTGTAGAAAATTGATTTGTATATACCTAAATACTGACTATTACTAATAGAAGGTATGATTTAAATATCGTTGCAGTTTCTTGCGATGTACTTACCACGTATTTTGTACTCACTGGATTAGTTAGCTTTAACCTAGCTAAAGCTTAACAAGTTTTCATTATCAAAAAGTACTTTATAAAGTTATGAGTCAGTGGCAATAAATACAAAGGAAAATGTTAAAAACATTGAGATGCGGAAGGAAAAGTTTCCATGCGTTTCAAAAAGCGGTTACACCAAAAAGAACGTTTTTATCTGAAGCGTACCGGTGCACAGAAGCATGGCAATCTCGACTTAACTCTCCTGTATTACAAAACATTGATCCTGAAAATCTATTCATACAGATAAATAACAAACATACTCTAAAAGGTGAAATTAGTGCAATTGATGTTGATATATTCGCAAATATACTAAGGGATAAAAGTTATATAGAAGAGTTGTTGTCGTCAGTATACAAATTGAGATTAACTGCTGAAACATCAAATACATTGGAGTCAACGCATCATGCGGTCATTAGATATTTGTGGGATCATGATTGTACAGATGAACTTATGAATGTTTTATACGACAGACTTAATTATGGCATTTTTCCTGACTATGTCTGTTATAATGCTCTTATGGATTCATATATAAAAAGAAAAGATTATGGTAGTGCTGCAAAAATTGCTGTCTTACCTATGTTACAAGAAGACTTTGATAATCCAATAACTAATGCATTATGCATTTATTCTTGCCATAAATATTTAGAGAACCCTGAAGTCTGGGTAAAACCCCAAGAACCAGTAGATGATGGCGAAGAAATTAAAATACGTGTAAAATACCTTATAAACGATTATTTCGATGATCATTTCGATCTTACAGATCCACGTGATCTGGTTGGAAAAACTTTAGCTTTTTATGGAAAAATTATGAATAATACATTAGGACGAACTTGTCAACTGCGAGGCTTAATATTATACAAAAAGTATGAGGAAGTATCAAATTTGATAGAACAATGGTCAAAAGATGTTCAAGATGATGTTGTTTATAAAGAAGTTTTTGATTTGATAAAGAAAGATAATGAAAGCATACCTGAAGAGGAAATAGGGAATATAATGTCTGAACTTGACAAATTAAAAAGTAAAAATCTTTGTGAAAACAGTTTAATTGAAGCAATAGAAAGCGAAGTCAGGTCTGCAATTGATAAACAGGCAGATATAGACATAACTAACCAACTAAAGGTACTTAATATTAAGGAACTGAACAGTAAATGAACAGCTATACGAGTGCCTTATGTGATTAATCAATGCTTTCTACTATTTCAGATGTATACCGAATGGGAAGAGAAAAGGAAGAAAGTCTTAGAGGAGCAAACGAGACAGATGGAGATAGCTTCTAGATTAGATAATGTACAAAAAATAAAGGAAGAGATGATGAAACAGGAAAGACTTTTAACATTCTTCGACGAAGAAGAGAATATAGAGCTGAAAATATCGGAAATAGAGGCGGAAGAAGAAGCAGAAATGGAGCGTATTCTTAAAATGCCCAAGTCAGAAAAGAAACTAAGAAAATTGAAGGCAACAGAAGAATATGTACCACCTACAATTTCAAATTAGAATAATCAACCGGTTATAATGTCATTGTAAATGATGGATAATATTTTGTAAATAAAAGTTATTTAATAAATTCCACTCCAACAGAATTTTCTCTTGAAAGGATGAACATGGTAAGAGACAATAAAAATATATTACATGTTATTTATCTTCCAGACTTTGTACATATTCGATTAGAAGAGATTTTTTTGTTAAATATGTTTTACGTACGTCTGTAGGAGATTTCTCCGAAGCCGCGTATTCATTCGAAATATGAAAGATAATTGTATAATTAAATTTTATGCTAAAAAATTATTAGGCTCTGTAACAAATAACGTTCCCTTTGAGCGTTAGTATTAAATGAGTTCATGTTATACACTTGGTCCAATTTTAAGCATATTTATTATTACATAACTTCGGACCAAGGTACACATTCAGCAATCAAGTCTTAACAGACTCAAAAAGACTGCTTTATGGCAGTCAGTGTACTCTGTAAATTTTACAGTACTATAAAATTTGGTCTTCGTTCCCATAACTGCATTGGCTTGCAAGGAATGTTCTGTAAACATAGTCATGCAATCTCTTAGATGTAAGAAATTTTAATAATTACTGTTTTAAATCAACTGTATCTTTACCTCACCGTAATTATTACGGCACGTATCGTAGTACCATAAATTATATAACAATCACGACGATTTACTTTGCAATTGTGCAGTTAATGCTGCTGTTTCTTGTTTCATTTGTTTCAAATCAGCAGTTATTCTCTCTAAGTTTGCTCCAACATTTTTCGTAGATTCAGAATCGATCTATAAAAGCAATGTAACGTATTTGAAAACATGCGATTAAGTTTTTAATATTTAGCATGCATGAAGAGGATTTTTTTGTCCATTAACAATACCTGTTCTTCTAAGTCTCTAATTTCTCGTATAGTGGCACCCGTCTCTTCCACTAAATTTACAAGCTCACTACAATCAGAATGAAGTGTAGCCAATAATTTATAAGCCTTTCTTGACGCTTCATTTGTTCTTGCATCTCGAAATATTAATTCGTCAACAACTGTGAACGATCTTTCCACTCTGCCTGTAAGCGTGTTAATTTCTTTCTGAATTTCCCGTGTATCAGCTAAGACTTTATTGATGTCGTCTTTTTGTTTCCTAACATTATTAATTATTTCTAAAATTCGTTGAGTATATGCCGACCTATTCACTTCTTTAGGAAGTTTTTGAACTTCTGTCACTAACTGTGAATATTGTTGATCTTTGTTACGGCATTCTTCTTGAAGTTCTCTTTCTTTCTCCTTTGATAACTTAATTTCATCAAGTTTCTTTTGACTTGCACTCTACATGTACAAAATTTTAATTTTAAATATGCAACTTAAATTTCACATTTTGCTAACAAAATAGTACTTACAGCTTTTGTTGAATGTTTCTCTCTCTCTTGCCTATATTTTTGAATCAGAGGTACTCTATGCTTCTCCCACTGATTGCCTAAACTTATTAATTTGTTTGTAGTAGCTTCAATCGCTATTTCCAGCTTCTTAATATTTTCCTCACCATCTTCTAGTAGGTCGTAAATACGAACTTTAATTTTTTTCTGTTCTTCATTTATCCTTAATTCTTTTTCCTCATTCTGATAATTAATTGTTATTTGGGTTATACCAGTACTCAACTTCTTAATTTCATCTTGCAATTCTTCCATATTACTTCTAAGACTTTCACACTCTACTTTTATTTTCTCTACTTCTAATTCCTGCTTTTTCACTTGAGTTAGAGTTTCTTGTTTTTGTAATATAGGTTCTGAAGTGTTCTCGTCCTTTACCTGAGACTGCTAAATATAAAATAAAAACCTAAATGGTAAAGTATGATATTGTGTTTACAAATAATGTATGCTTACAGATACAGATGTTACTTTTAAAATGCTTACTTTAGTAGTTGGCATTGTTTCTTTTATTGTAATTCTATTGATTTCACCGACTTCACTTGATGCATTAACATCTGTGACTTTTTCATTGTGTACTTTATTTAACCAATTTATTCGATCAAGAATATTTATGGACTGAGTATGCAGTACTTTCTCATTATAGGATATCAAAGAAGGTAAAAAGGATTGTTGATTTTGCACTTGTTTAGGCACAGGTTGCAAATAATGTATACAATAGTCTTGATACTCTACAATAGTAAAAGTTTTATCAATCTCAATTAAATATTTGGATGCGGCATTAAATTATATAAACAGTAATTGCTACCTTCCTCGCTGTTTATAGTTGGTACCTCCAAATTTACAGATACATAAGGGACACTTGCTCTGCCTCTATTTCTAAATCCCTTAATATGGCAATAATGTGGCAACCATGGAGCTGAAAGGCCTTGCGATATTGCTGCTGCTATAGACTTCTCTAATAATGCAATATTACTAATCGGTTCATTCAAAGTCTTATCATGTTCCTTTGGTAGTTTTTCTATTAGAAACATGAAAACTCTTCGTAGGTCAGCTTCTGAACTATATAGAAACGTTTGGTATCCAATATCACCTTTGTATCCTAAGTCCTAAATTGATAAATTTCCATAAGTAAACATTAAAAGCACCATTGCATTCATAACAGAATTATTCATTTTTCAAAAGCTTACTGAGCATGCTTGAGCAAGTGTAGCACCCAATCGAAAACGGGCTGCCATATTTACAGGTAAAACTGTAGATACTCCAAGACCCGGCCTTATTATGTCTAAACACTTTATTGTTGATTCTACCACTAACTCCGTAGTGAAATCAGCAAGATTTGTTATACTCTCTTCTATGTCACTAAAATGTAGTTAACTATTAACCATAAAGAAGTATTTATAAATAATACAAAATAATTATCGATTGTTTGTTAAGTAAATATTACTAGTTCTTTGTGTTACTAATTACATTGTAAAACGATATTTAGAGGAAAATACGATATCACATTTCGTTCGTAAACATTATCAAAATTAGCCGGTAAAATTGAAATGAATCCTAGCAACATTTGAATGTTTTTATAGTTACGTTCTTATTTTCGGACTCGAAGAAATTTCAGCGCAAAACAAAGTAACGCTGATCAAAGATATCGCGATTTATTTAAATAAACATTACCACCCACTTTTACCGTAACAAAACGTAGCCGACATCGAATGTCAATCGAAGTGAAACTCCCTTAAAGATATGCAAAATACAACTCACCAGCCTATTTGACGCAATGAATGAATAATTATATTGTCAACCTCCTCCATCATCCGTAAAAATGTGAAAATTCTAAAATTCCCTACGGTGTTAACGTATTTTAAGAAATTCGTACCAAGTCTCAGGAATTTAACCTGTCCATGAGTGAAGAAACATTTGTGCACTGTGCAATTATGCAGATGGCGTAACAGATTTTTTAGTTATAAGAGGATAAAATTATTTCAAACTTGTTGTAAAACAAGTGTTCACTATGATAATCGGAGTGAAATTATTTTTAATAAAAGAAAATACTTTAAGATAAAATCAGTTATTACGTTTTAACACGTTAACAGCTAATTGAACTAACTTTACCATTTTTATTTTTTTGGCTATAGTTAATCATTTTTGTACTCATTACGATAAATGAAACGTATAACGTTTATAGGATTTTATTTGCCACTCCTTTTACTACTAAAAATTTAATATCATTGAATATCTTGTTCATCGTCGATGGTAAATCCCATAAAATGTTCTGTCTATTTTATCTACCGTTGGTCTGGGTCTTAACCCTATAAACTGAAATAACGAATCTCATTCGCCATGCTTTCAGTACGAAATAGGAGTTCACAAATTATTTGACAAATATGCTGTATCGTGACAAATAATTTTCTTATTTTCATAAATAAATTTAATTGAAGCTCTAATACTTCAATTTTTTTTTAAATATTCGTGTGTGAACGTTTGATTCAAAATAAACCATCAGGCAAGGGGTTAAAATAAGTATCTTGACACTAGATTTACTGACATTTACTGTACAGTTTGTTCTATTGTTCATAGAAAAATTGTTATCCGTACATTTAGATCTTAAAAATTCGAGGTTTAAGAGTAGACAATTAGGGTACCTATTCGCATAACTGCGTTAATAAAAATCGACCCAAAATTTACCAAATAATTTTATAAAAAATTCAATACGAGTCAAATTGATTCGTTCCGTAAATCTAGTGTTAAGTTTGTGCTATGATTACCTACAGTTATACACAGTTGCGTATATTTGAAAAAAATGTACCTATTTCGAGTACAAGATGTCGCAACAGTACAATGGCGCTTTCCGTTACTCGTTCCAGATGGAAACGATGGATCGAGAGATCGTTTAGTATCGACTAAGCATCCATCGGTGTAGTCTGTTACAAACATAAAAGAGGAGATTTTTATTCCTTCGGAATCGGATAGTTCCCATTAGATTTTCATTTCCCTAGCAGGGACCAAAGTAATGCTGTCATAACGATTACTCGAGGGAATTGTACCGCTAATAAGACAGTACTTGTTTCTTATTCCTTCTGCGATCTTCTCCAGAAACGGCAAGATTTCGCATCCACCAACTCCTTTGGTCACTTGCGTAGTCCGGTAGTATACAGACGTGCCTATTGTAATCCGCAATGGCGGAGACAAATGGGGACGCAAATTTAAACACGAAAAACGGAAACTTCATCTGCGGTGTCGTTGAAGGTATTACTCGCCATCGAGCGATTGAAAACCATACGTATTTGGTCATCGTTTGCGATAGCCTTCTTTTGGTGGGGCAAGAAAGAGAGTCGGGCAGGGGGGAGGAGGGGGCGATTGGAATGCGCTATTCGTTACTTTATTTTATATTGTTCATATAAAAAAATACTATTTTCTTTATTCACAGGCTTTTACGGACGCCCTTGGACTACTGAACAGAGGAAAGATTTATTTCAAAAGTAAGTAACTTCCATTGAATGTAACTTAAATTAGAAGATTGAAGTGCATTTTATGAAATTATGATACTAAATAATTTTTAGATTGAAAAAATGGGGAATGGATTCGTATCTATACGCCCCAAAAGATGACTACAAACATCGTGCGTATTGGAGAGATTTGTACACAGTTGAAGAAGCAGAACATTTGACTGGCCTGATAACAGCTGCTAGAGAATGTGGTATTACTTTTTATTATGCCTTATCACCAGGATTAGATATTACTTATTCGAGTGCGAAAGAAGTTACTGTACTGAAAAGGAAACTGGAACAAGTCAGTCAGTTTGGTTGCACCGCATTTGCATTGTTATTCGATGATATAGAACCAGAAATGAGTGAAGCAGATAAAGAAGTATTTCAGTCCTTTGCTCATGCACAAGTGTGTATTACATGATTCGTCTTGTGTTTGAATTATGGTATGTTTTGCTTGTTACTAACTGTAATGCTTTCTTAATAGGTTTCTGTTACAAATGATATATTTCAACATCTTGGTCAACCAAAATTTCTTTTATGCCCAACACAATATTGTGCAACCCGCGCAATGCCAAATGTAACATCCTCAGAGTACCTTAATACGCTTGGTAATAAATTGGCTCAAGAAATTGATATAATGTGGACTGGTCCTAAAGTTATATCGAGACTTTTAACTGTTGAATCTATAGAAGAAATAACCGAGGTTTTAAAAAGACCACCGGTTATATGGGATAATTTACATGCTAATGATTATGATCAAAAAAGAGTATTTCTAGGCCCGTATTCTGGTAGATCTCCTGACCTGATTCCAAAATTGAGAGGTGTTTTAACAAACCCTAATTGTGAATATGGAGCAAACTTTGTAGCAATTCATACATTGGCTCAGTGGAGTAAATGTAATATTGATGGAAAAAGAGATTTAAGTATGTATCTATTAATTGTATGTAATTCTATACATTATGCTTTATTTTACTTATAGACTACTTTTTATTTTATAGATGATTCTATATCAGCTGATATCAGATTAGAAACTGAAACAGAAGATGGTCTATTAGGTGAAGATGTTCCTTCAACAATGTCACCAAATATGTATCATCCCAGACATGCTTTAAAGAATGCTATAAACGAATGGTTATTGGAATTTAACAAAAAACGGGCTGCATGGGGTGTTATAGCAAAACCACAACCATGTGTAGCGCCAACAATACCAATACCTATAATTCCCTCTGTAAATACATGTATGAGTCTGACATCAACAACCACCACTACCGTTCCTGCAACACCTGCGCCAATAACTAATTCCAGTCATCTTCAAGCATTGGCTGAAGTTTGCTCAACCGTAACAACTACCGACAGTTTTGTACCACCCTCTGTTCCAGTTATGAATTCATTGGTGTCAGAAACAACTGTTATTAGTGAACCTATACTTTCAACTACTGTAGAAAATGCATCAACTTCACATGCTATGTCATCTATAGAACCTATGGATTGTAATACTACACCTAATAATTCTCCGGCACACGCGGCTAAGATTCACACAGAGGATGATGCTATGATAGAGAATACATCTGTAAGCTCTTTAATATTTAATAGTTATAACTATAAACAGAATATTTATATAATTCGTCAATTCTTATTTCTTAGACATGCAGTGAAGCTTCTGGTAGCATGCAAGTAGAAGTGGACAGTACTTCCCCTGTAGTGAATGGTACTCAAATGATTGTTGAAAATGATAATGAAAATCATGATACAACTGATAATACAGATCAAGAATCTCAAGATTCTATTGATGCTGATAAGCGGTTAACTCAAGAAGACCTTTCATTACTATGTGACCTATTTTACTTGCCATTTGAACATGGTGGTCAAGGTATATTATTATTACAAGAATTTAATTGGCTAAAAAGTAACGCTCATGTTGTCATGAAAAAGCCTAAAGAGGAAACAACTGTATCTCAGGCAGATGTGAGTAACAATCTTTTCACATCCAGTAGGTACTTCTTGGATTCTATTGCAAGTATTTACCGAATCCTTGTAATATTTCAGATTGAAGAATGGCATGCAAGAGCAACGAAAATGAATGATATATGCAATGCCGTAAACAGATTGTTTCAGCGACTTACATACTGTAATAACCGTGAGTTGTTATATGATCTGTATTCATATGTTTGGGATATGAGAGGAGTTGTATCCCTTTTAAACAGTTATGTGAAATGGTTGGGTAAGTTACATTTTGATTTATATAAATAACTTTAAATAATAAATTAAATATACTTACCGATATCCTGCTACATTTTGATACATACGTTTAAAAATTAATAGAAAAAAGTATTCTTAATCAAATAAAAGATAATATTAAGTATGGTCCATATTACATTTGCAATATCATTTTTAGTGTCAGTTAAATATTTTCTAATCCTTGCATCATTTAGTCATATAATAACAAAGAATATAAAAATAGTAATGATGAAATACATAAAGAAAGTTAATTCAAAATGCTAGTATGCTGGTACAATGATATGAAAATAATTATTCACGTTTAATTGTATAGTTACAGAATACATACTATTACATACATACATACTACTAATTTTTCGTTTTTATATAATTTTTACATTATCTTGACTAGTAGAGAGTTGTATTTGTTGTGCTACAGATGAGTGCTGTTATCAATTTTCTCCAAAAGTACTATAATTTACTGCCTATACTTATATTTCAGAACAAAAGTGTCTCGAGTATTGGTAAGTGTAATGTTCTATTCTTTTTTTTGTCTCACTCAATTTATCCTTTTACAAGGTGGATGTTATTAAATATTCTAAATAACAGAATATTACAATTAAACAAATGTACAATTAATATCATTAACAGGAAATTAAAAAATGATATTTCTCTAAAACAAAAATGTTTATTTAAAATGTTAGGAAACTTTATATTACGACCACAGTGGACATCCTTGTAAAATGATATTATACAATTGTAAAACACATAAAGGACATAAATTACTGACTCCGAAAGTTACTGATGTCTTGTTAACTTAGTTTAAACACAAATAAATTTATTGTTTTTATTCGCTTCGCAAGTATATTTTTTATTGAACGATAAAAATTAATTTGTTCGTTCAATTTAAAACGTGTATTTTACAAACATCGTTTTCAAAATATTATATGCGAAGACCAAATAAAATATAGATTAAATACTAAAGTTCCAAAAAGTCTGTATCTAGGAGAAATATTTCTACTGAAATATTTAGTAGCTTATTAACTTTCTAAATAACAAAAAAAGTAAACAAGCATCACTAATAGTTGGAATATAAGTATTCCATAGATCGCTTACCTATGGAATTGCATTTGTACATTTGTTTCTGCGCTTTAGAATCAAATGTACCGCGTGGCGCGCGAAAAATGGACAAGCATGGTTGCCGTAAGTCAAAATTGAAATAAGTTAAAAGCATAATTTAAATTTGCTTTTCTTATTTTTGAACACATTCATACTTCCTACGAATACAGACAATATGCACAATTGCTAAATACATGATCTTTTATACAAAACTGAAATAGAAACTTGTTAATCTATTCAACACTTGAAACCAAACGATACGAGTTTTTTAAGTTCAATTGTATAGAAATATTTTTATGAAATGATTTTCTTCTTTGTCGACTAATGGCTTCCTATTATGATTCTGTTGATACGAAATCAAGTCATAGCAGTTCTTACATTTCTCATAAATATTATTAAAAACATGTATATATATATGTAAACTATCATGGTATTGCATACCATTTGTCTTATAAGAATTAAGAGAATTGATGTGACTTGTTGGCGCGATACATGGCGAAAAGACTCTTTCATAGCAAACACTTTCTGGGAAACTATTTAACAGCATCAATGTGGACCTGAACAAATACTGTGTTCCAAATAACTTTGTGCCAGCTATTAACATATTGGTTGACTTTCTTTCACAGATAATGTTTGGCAAGAATTCATTCGCTGCATTAACATTGCATAATATTACTGAAACTTATTTGGTGCAGTTCGAAGTGTATACTCAAGAGGAATAATTTGTAGCGAATAATTTTTGCCAACAGTATAAGTGTATGAGGAACAGTACAGCTTTAATTCACTGACTAACGTGCATTTCTGTGTTTTCTGTCTTGTTGATAGCGTTTGGCAGATTCCCGTCGACGATGACAACGTTTACCCAGGGCAGCTACACATGTATGCGATTCACCAGTCTGAGTAATCCAACAAAAAGCGCGCGTCCAACAAAGCTTCAAACCAACGAAAACAATTGCATATTTTCTGTTCGTGTTTGAAGTTTTGTCAAATTATTGCAATTAATATGAACAAGAGATTTGCGCGTAGAAGCAGCGTTCTGATGACTAGAAAGATCTATGTGTACTCAACACATATACCTTTTGCGCCTCATAAGATTTAATGTAAGATGGACATACTTTCTTATTCTACAAAAATTATTAAACTTTCAAGTACATGAAATCTTTTAGATGTATTTTGATTTTAATTTTATACAATTTTCTTATAGTAACAAGAAGTTTGAATTGTTCAATGTTTTATAATCTAAGATTCACATATCTTTTTTTATATTTCAAAGATTCATTGAAAACTTCCTCAGAGACTATACAAATGATCTTTATGAATTTTACATAGTAAAGATTTTTACGTACAAAGTAAGTCCATCTGCAACTTCTCCAAAATTGGCAAACTTAGGACACAGCTTTGTGATCTATTACGGGCTTTTCCTAAATAATGTACTGGTCACGTACAGCCTGCAAAAGTTGCGTTTATATATATATTTTTTTTATTACGTTTCAAAATTATCAAAAGAAGTTTATCATTTATAATGATGGATAACATTTTCGAGATTTCATGTTTTCTTGGTTTTGTGAGAACATCTTTCGTGGGTTGAGAATGACTAGCGAAACATCTTCCTTCTGCCAACTTGCCTGTACTAATTTCTTTTAGTTCCAGACACTATATTCTTTTCAGGAGTAATAGGAGTTTTATTTCAGGCGCATTTTGGCAAACTGGACTACCATTCCACTAATCCCAGTCCCATTTCCTTTTCCCTAAGGTTTTATTGCTGCGCGAACTCTGGTGCAACATTCTTCGAAGACAATTTCTATTGTCATTTCATATTGGTAGTAATTACTTAAAATTTGATATGAATGCAAGACTGTTTAATATAACAAAGTCTACATTTTTTAGCCAAATAATATATAGTTTTTTCATTTTTTCTCTTTTGTAAATTATTCGATGTGCGAAGATCAATTATTTTATACAGACATAAAGAGATATCTGATTTATTGAAATGTTGCACCGTAGTTATTCGATCCGATAGATTTCTTTATTTCGCGATGTTATACTTTCTGTTTAATGAACATTGTGAAAGACTCGATATATCAAGCGAGGTAAAGAAAACCATGGCGCTATCGATCGAAATGTACTTATGCATGTTACAAATTTAACTAAAGTTAGTACTCTGAGCAGTGGAAGCTGTATTATATATTTAATAAACTGCATAATCGCGCGTACATATCCACACATTTAATTATTTATTAAGATTAAATACTATATCTTTGGGATAGGGTTTTCCAATGGCTGGAAAGAAACTTTTATGAGTGGAGACCAAGAACCATGGGTTTTTCGTGGAGGACTTACAGCTGATCTACAGGTATATTGACACGTTTATTTCATTATGAATACATTCTGCTTGAAATGATATTAATATCTATTTACTCTTTTCAGAGATTAATTCCAGTAGACAGTGGGAATGATCTATTTGTTTACAAAGCACCAGAAGTGCCTAGTAGTAAAATTTATACAATTAGGCCTTACTTAACCAGCGACGAGGAAGCAGTTTACGCTGTATGCAATAAAATTTATGGCTCTACGATGTCGTCTGCAGTGGCAGATAGGTATTTGAAACAATTTCACCATATTTTATTAAAAATTGTAACATATTATATGAATTTCACATACAATAATGACATACTGTTGTTTATTTTCACTATAGATTGATTAGTGGCTTCCTAACTTTAAGTTCAGAACTATGTATGGTTGTGGAAGATGAAAGTGGTGTGGTCGGTTATGCACTGGCTGCCTTGAATGTCAAGACTCACAACCAGAAACTGGCTGTTTCTTTAATACCCGAGTTGCGTTTGAAATATCCGTTAGATGATAGTATAAATGATATGCCTCAAAACGTTCAGGTACATATATTTAAATAGTGTTTTTTTAATTAGTCTTTTACATTTATTAACACCTGCAATTTATTTTTTAGGATGCCATACGGCACTTCCATTCATTTGTCCCAGATGTGTCTGAACAGTTATGCAGACAACACCCATCAAAACTTCTGTGCGCGGTGTTGCCGTGTTTAACCGATCAATCTGTCCCTAAAAGACTAATTACGTGTATTCTTGCTGCTCTGAGAGCAAATGGTGAATATGATAATGAGATTATAATTTATGGAAAATACATTAGTAATTGACGTTAATGTTTAATAATATTCGTAGGTTCTTTTGGTGTACACACTACTATACCAAGCACAGACAAAGAAGCACATGAATTTTATAGTAAATTGGGCTTTGTCGATATGAACCCAGCGCACGAAGAACACTCTGGAATCAAAACTATGTGTAGAAGTTTCTAACAAAGAGTTAGTACACCAGTGATATTTGTGAATAAGGTCTACTTGCTTGGACCATCTTCAAAAAAGACTTCTAACGTTTGAAATATTCATAATGAATATAGAAACAGTAATTTTTAATACGGTTCGAGAACATTTCTGCTGCCTGTACTATTTTATAATGGCAGAATATTATCCGTTGAAAGGAACTTTTATTTCTGGAAAGGAAAGGAAACCATTCAGAGGTTACGCATTAAATGTCCACTGATGAATGGTACTTGCTTTCTGAGAACTGTCACAGAATGTCTGCCTTCTTGAATTAGAAAATCACCTAAATGTGTTTAACGATATATACGTATGTACGGTGTATATACAATATAGAATGAATGCATAACGTCTGTGTCATCGAACGAAAAAGGGATAGTGAAAAGAGTGTAAAACGTGCAATAGTAAGAATTAATGAATCAAAGCGAAAATGAAATAGTAACAAATGGATATGTTAATTTTATAAAAATTTGCATTTGTGTGTTGAATTGCTATGGAACTTTAGTATATAACCGGTATGCTTGTATATTAATAGGAATACTTCTTGAAAAGAATGTATATAACGTGTTAAGTGATGTATGATGAAAAAATACCAGTGTATGTGTGTGTTCCAGTGATAAATTATCGAAGCTTTTTAACCCATTGAAGGATATTTTCTTATTGAAATCAATCGCGTGCGCGAATAATTGTGAACAGGATGTAAGGAAATTCGGTTTTACAAACTACGTATTTGTTATAAGAATGCGAGAAACGAGATCTAGTTTTAATATCCGGTTTAAGTTTCTTAACGAGAACTACCTAATCCATAGGTATTTTATTGTTTCATAGTAAAATTTTCCCTGCAATGTGTACATAAATTGGCCTTCAGCGTGTCCACTATTGAGATCGTTTTACCCGTTTTACATTATTATTTTAATAATATTGTTTTTAATCACAGAAATATCGATATTATAGTGACTTCTAATTGGCTCTATGCTTGCAACATATACATGTACGCATGTGTATGCATTGCCGCAGAATGTGATATGTAGAATTTTTTAGGAGAATAGTAATTATTTCACTACCACCCGAATGTATCAGAACAGTTAACTATTTGTAACCTGAATAACAGGAATTATACATTTTATATAACCGTTTATTTTAATATTAAGTTCGTTACCATCAATAGTAACTGAATCCTAAAAAACACGCAAAGCAATTAGTGTTTTGGAGAAAAAAGCAA